CTGTCTAGGTCCGATTGTAGCCTATTCCTCCCTTCTAGCGTGCCCACATCCCCCCACATCTTAGTGTCATCAGCAAATCTGAACAGGGTGCTTTTTACCCTTGCGTCCAAGTCACTGATGAAGATGTTGAACAGTGCGGGCCCGAGGACTGACCCCTGGGGGACCCCACTGCCCACATCCCTCCAGGTCGAAAATGACCCATCCACCACCACTCTCTGGGTGCGGCCCTCCAGCCAGTTGGCGACCCATTTGGCTGTGTGTGTGTCAAAGAAGTGATGAGGTCACATCTAGTACTTCCTCAGGAGAACATCTACTTTTTGAAAATCCAAATATATTATAGCAACTGGCTCCTCCTTGTTCACCTGCTTGTTAACACCCTCAAAGAACTCCAGCAGAGTGGTGAGAGGGTTTTCTTTTACAAAAAACATGCTGGCTATTCCCCAACATGTTATATTTATCCATGCCATGGGTAAGAGTCACTGCTCTAGCTCTGAAGTTCACCTCTGGAGTCCTTTTTGAAGATGGATGTTAGTTCAGCAACCCACCAGTTCTGTGGCATAGAAGCTGTTTGCAATGAAAAGTTACGTGCTACTGCCAATACTTCTGCAGGTTTGTATTTGAGTTCCTTCAGAACCCTTGGGTGCGTGGGTGACTGGTGCCACCTTAGGGAGAGCACGTGCCCCCCCCGTGACCAGTTCCACTGCCTGGGAGGGGCCCTGCAGGCAATCCTGTGGATTGGGGGGAGGTCCCCCTGGGCAATCCCACGCTGGCCAATCGCCACAGCCACTCCCAGAAGCAGTTGCAGCGATCACAGCAATCGGCCGCCACTTGCAGTGGGGGCATCTGCGCTCCCACCTGCCCCCCTGCCCATTGCCTAAGTGGCAAGCGTGGCTGGTCAGGTGGTGCGCCGGTGCTCTCCCATGCACCCCCTACACATCACCACTGCTTGGGCAAATGCAGTCCAGGCCTTCTGACTTCACAATGTTTAATTTTTGATTTGTTCTAAAATCTCCTGTACTGTCACTTAATTCTTCAGATCTATTGGCTAAGAAGTGTGGGAATCTCCTCAGTAGTCTGTGGAGTGAAGACTGATGCAAAGACCCATTTAACTTCCCTGCTATGGCCCTATCATTCCTGAACTGCTTATTGAAACATCTTCTGTGACCTTGCCAAACATTGTCTTGCCCTATTTATCTCCATTTAAAATGCTGCTTGCAAAGATCTCTGTCCTAATCTATTACTTTGACTGTGTTGTCCCTTCCCTTTGCACCTGAGCATTGTCACTCTCTCTTCTATGGCATCAAACATGCATACTTTTCTCCCCCCTTTCAAGGCCCTTTTTAGTCTTCTCTCACTCTACCATCTTTCAATCAGTACTGAAATGTCCAGTCCAGCCTCCAGTCAGCCAATGATACCAGCCTAACTGCCATTCTCAAAGAAGCACTTCATGCTTTCTTCTCCACCACCCCAAATGCTTAAGAGGAGCTTCCTGCAAACATCCTGCAAAAGTGACTTGTCAAGGGCTAGGCTGGTTGGAGTGCTGAGTCCACTGCCCAATGTACTGATTCACTGCTTCCATGCATTTCCTCATCTATTGTCTCCTTTTACACTGAAATTGTAACCTCTTTGGGGCACAACATTTTTTTGTTCTATATTTGTGAAGCATTCACTCAGCACAAGGGGATCCTTGCTCACAAGTAGAGCTCCTAGGTAATATGTTAATACAAGTTAGTAGTAATTCAATGCATTTGATAAAGTACCCTTGGTTGGTCCCTCATCATATTGCTCTCAGGGGATCCAGCCACTGGATTCCTGCATATTTTATTCTTTGAGAGTCTTGGCATAGTCCCAACACTGCCTTTCAATTTGGGGGATTCTCAGCACACTCCTCTGCTACAATAACTGTCTAGTACCCCACCTAAGAAACAAAGCCCACTGTACAACTGCCTGTGCATAGGCTCCAGCCCTGATTCCTCAGCCTCTCAACACAGCAGAAATACTACCTTTCGTAGCATCTCATCATGGGTGCCAGCCTTCTGGTTTACAGTGTAACTTCAAAAAGCGTGTGATAATTCCAAGCAAACAGACACAGGCATGGATAGGCTTTGGCAAGTTTGTCTGTAAGACAATTACTTTCATTTAAAGCATAAGAGGTTACAGATCATCAGACAAATCATACAGCACCCCTTGATCTTGCTCAGACAGCCCTGAGAGTATTCATCTACACTTAAAAAGCCTTTAAAAAAGGCTTTGTGATTTTAGTTTGATCCTGTAGCTACTGTACTTCTGCTAACAACAGTTAATCCACTGCCCGCTATCCACCTATAAGATCTTTTTAAATCCCTCCTTCATCATCCCTTTGTCTCCTCCATAATGCACCTCATTGACAGAAAGCTCCCACCTGGAATTGAAATTGTGTATAGGATGGACAGAAGACTCTTCAACCTCAACAGACTCAAGTCCAAAACTAAGACCACAACAACATCCATAATGGAGCTCCGGTATGCGGATGCTGCTGCTGTTGTTGCTCAATCTGAAACGGACCCCTGAACCATTCTTAATGTATTTTTGGACATCTACAAGGGTATCAGCCTAACTCTAAACATCAGGAAAATGCAAGTCCTTTACTAACCTGCACCAAATGGAGAAACAATGCCCTCCACCCATTCAAATCAACGGAGAATTGCTGGAGAACATGGATCACTTTGCCTATCGTGGAAATCATCTTTCATCAAAGGCAGACATTGACACAAAAATACAACACCGCTTGAAATGTGTGAGCGCAGCCTTTGGACATCTGAGTAAGAAAGTCTTCTTAAATCATGACATCCTTGCTGAAATTAAGCTCTTGGTTTGTGGAGCCACTGTCATTCCAACTCTGCTGTATGGCTCAGAAACTTGGACCACATACAGAAGATATCTTAAAAGCTTGGAAAAGTACCACCAACTGTGCCTTTGCAAGATCCTTCGGATTTGCTGGGAGGATAGACGCACAAACATCAGCATCTTGGCCGAAGCAAATTCCAACAGCATTGGAATCATGATTAT